TAAAATTGTATTTCTATGGGATCATGCCATTAGTTTGTGTGAGCATAAGGATAGCATATAGCGAAAACATCTTCTCATCAACAAAGACACATCTATGCTATATGAATGTATCATTTTGGTGAGCTAATGATAATGGGTGTCTGAAGCATAATTTTTTACAAGCCAAAAATTACATGAGTTGGAATTGCCAAATAGAAGGCGATAATTTCGAATTCATTAGAGCTATTTGAGAATAATGCATAACAAAATGGGTCATATGTACGTTTGGACAACTTTGCTGTAAACCAATCCACCAACCTGCATGCAACAAGCTCACCACCACAACAAAAAAGCATACTATGAAAATTGGGCAAAGTACTCAATTAATTGCCGATTTTCAACAAATCACGTATTATTTATTATCATAAAAGCGGACTATTCTTATACAACGAATTGGCTGAAAATAAATACAGTGCTAATTATTCGCATATATTCAGTTAATGTTTAGAGCGCGCCGTGCCCAACGATACTTTTTCATTATATCTACTAGATGATCTTGTAAAGAAGGCCATATGAAATTCACGAATAGGACATATATAATCATATGCAAACTGAGGTGACTAACGTCCTTATTAAATGAAGTTTAAACAAGGGGTATTCTAGCTCGTTCACCATAGATTTTCTCCCCTGATGATTTGATTGGCATGCACAAAGCACAATGTAGCCCCTTCTATTCTGCTCTGGTGGATATTGGACCTGTCAGCTCTGATTTTGGACTGCTGGGACATTTAGCGACAAAACTTTCCCATAAGTGAAGTCTTTTCGGTATAAATGATTCCGTTTTTTGATGAGTCCATTGGTGTTGGATTTGGTTAGTTGACATTTGATTACAATTTACTACATTACTTATTTTTCGCACAAAGGTGCGGTTCCGAGACTATCAGTAAATCAGTTATATGCGATGTATTTAGCCTATTTCGTTTAAGGTGATGAAGAACTGGTAGTTGAATTTTTCCCAAAAATCGTATGAATAGAGCTGATGCTTCCACTGAATTTCACATAGCCTTGCTTTTCCAAATGATGTCCTCATCCAGATGGACTACAGTTTCTACCTCGCTTACGTTTTATTAACACTCCCAGCGGGAGTCGAATCATGACAATGCAGCATGTAATCTCGTCACATTAACCACTACATCACATTTAACTCCCGCTGGGGTTGTTGATAAGACCTAGGCGAGGTTGAAACTGCTATCCACCCATTTGGGAAAGTAAGGCTATATGAAATGCAATGAAAACTTCAGTTCTATTCATATCATTGTGGGAAAATTCAACTACCAGTCCTTCATCACCTTAAATGAAATAGAGTGATACATCTCATATAAGTGTATAAGTAGGCTGGTAGTCTCAAAACCCAACTTATGAACGAACAGTGAGACTTCTTAAGGGCTCATTAATTAACACATACATGATAGTAATGGCCTAAGCGTAATAATAATGCACTAAACATCGAGATACTCAGCTAAAAGTAATGTCTTACCAGAAACAAGGAAAACACCTTAAGCTTAGTATACAAGAATTTATTTAAAAACTCTAGATACAAGAAAATTGGAAAAAGGACGAAGTAGAAGCAGTTAAGCTTGATGGAGTGGTAGGCAAATGAAGACTAAAAGCATTAAGAATGTAGGTGACGATGAAAGGGAATGACATAAAAATAAAGGTCAAAGAAGTAAGTGTAAGCTACTCAAAAGTGTCGTGTTGTCAAGGGGATTCAGATGTACACACCTTGCTCGAATTCCTATGATATAGAGGTTATAATTGTAGGGGTCAGGTAGATGTAACAGGACAGGAGTGATAAAACAACCACTCGACAGAAAGTTGGTTAACGAGTGAACGTCACTTTTCTCTTTGAGGAGTTATAGCTTGGTGCAAATAATGACAAGACTCACCGACGATGTCGACAAAACGCCTAAGCATGTACTAGGTTTAGGGTTCGACGCTTGGAATTATCATAGCTACTCTAGCAGAGGACTCGGTACAAGGTGAGCTCATCTAGGTCGCCCTGCCAATAGATATGAGGAAACATATATAGGCCATAAAAGTTACCATCCACGTTGAAGGAAAAAAAACCCGGGGGTTTAATTGACTATAAGATCAAGTTCTTGTAACTAATCCCTAAGGCCAACTATCAAATTGGCAAGAAGCTAGCAATAAGTTGGCTCGAATATAAAAACACTAGTGGGCAAGCAGACGCCGACATAGCTTATGTGACAATCAGAAATCAGAAGAGGATGAGAGCAACGGTCATAAGATTAGACTATTAAGGACACTAACGTATCCAGGTTTTGGGAGTTTAGGACTTTCGAGGTTAGATTGAGAAAATGTCTTACCTGACAGGCCGATGTATTAATCGGGCATTTGTCTCTCCTGTAGTTCGCACCACCTTCCTCTCTCACCTGTTCATCTGAGTGTTGGCTAAGTCGTTCATTGCGTCCGACCACTGCACGTCGTCGGCAGGCTTCGCTTGCTCGCACTAATTGAAGAAGATGCCTAGCAGTTGCTGGTGTTCGTTCAGGAAACGAGTGATCAGGCCAGGAAGCATACCAAAAATGTACGGCTTCGTGCTCTTCTTTATCGCACTGGATGAGATAAAAGTAAATGAGAGGATAGAAGAAAACATAGATTCAGTCCACAAGAATTAAAGTAAGGTAAGCTGGTCACAAACGTCGGCACCGAACGTAAAATATATGGGCACTACGCATTATGCTTATCATCTAGGCTTCAGCCTTTAGCAGAAAGATATGGAAATTGAGATGAAAAGGTTACCGCACTAATGAAGATTGAACAATTTCTCTCGACATAATATGTCTCTTCACTTATAGGAAAGGCTTCCAAGTATTTTTTATACCATCTTGATAAGACTATGATATTGAAAATCTTAACATTCCATTTGGTCTGGCAGCTTCAGATCTACTATACTATCTTTAGATTGCAAATAATTCACACTTATGTTTTACCAGACATCGGATGGGCAGTTACACGGCTAAGAATTGTAATTAGCAAGATCATATGCCAACACTTAGACTGATCAGCTTAGAGGCACAACTGGGTGTTAAATAACTTGATTGAAATGATGGAATATCGATAATACCAGGAGACTAAAGGTAAAATTATATGGCTTAGATAATTTATTCTCACAAATTTACTTTAGGTCCTATAAAAAATGATGCATGTATAATTGTGTGATAAAAAATGGGGTTTAGTTTAAGCATAATTGCCATAAAACTGCACGTTTCAACATGGATGTTTAGGTCTCAAAATTGTATACCTTGATCCGCATTAAGAAGTTATGTTAAAATCGGTTTGAGCTAAGGAAAATATGGAAAAATGAAGTGAATCTTTCCAGCATATCTTATACAACTATCCGACGATTGCCATTCTCTCTTATTAGGCGCATTGCAATTCATTAGCCAAGCGCAAAATCGAACTAACCGACAGTATATAAGTTAGATCTTCAAGGAAATGTTTGCAAGGCAGAGTAGCTGAAACTACTTATACATTTTAAACTCGAACGAAGGGGAACAGAAGGCAAGCTACAGGTCATAAAATGAAGTATAATTTTTAACGAAAATGACTATAACGCGAAAATGAACATAATTAAGAATAATACTTGTGTTGATAAACAATAAAAGTAATTTAATGAGTAATTTGAAAAGCACAAATATAAGATTATAGATTAAGAATAATCCTTATACTTAAAACTTATTGGTACATAAGTGCCGCTTTTTAAGTCCTATAAAAAAACATAAGCTCTCCAATAATTTGTCCTTTCTATAAGCAATTGTCAATTTTCAAGAAGAAGAGATTAGATATTACTAAAAGTTAATGAAAAAGTATGACATCAAGAAAAACTTTGCCTTTAAAAGCAAATAAGTAATTTGAATAAAGGAAATTACGCCAATGTCGTTAGTTAATGAACGTTCCTTGCTTAGTAATGCGTCATAGGAAAAAACTGTGAACAGCATTATTGTTTGAATTTAGTAATCTCATTTTGCTATAAGTCTCTCAAACGCATGCTGTACGCGTATACTAAGAACATTAAATTCACCACAAATAATCAACTCTCTCACTATACAAACGTGACAGCAATGAGCTAGTCTTAAAAGCACATTATTAGAAGTTATTGTAAAGTTAAACATAAAGGATAAATTTACTGTCAGCTATTGGCTGACCCGATTTAAAGTGTCGAAATGGTGTCCATGCCTATATAAATTGAAGAAGCGGATTACGTAAGTACAGAAACTCAATTTAAACTTGCCAAGCCTCAAAAGGCAACTATGACCCAAAGTGAAGAATAGTTGAGATGTGGAATGTGAACAAAATGAATTGTAGAAAACGTAGGTGTTATTTGAGGCGACATTTAGTCACAACATAATATTTTCTAGAAGATGCTTGACCTTGTTTTCGCAACTTCGTCGTATTGCCAGGAATACAACCCGTTAGGAGTCCATAGCATCATGGACAATTTCCAGAGTCGGACCGTGTCCTCGCTATATTCCAAGACGCTTCGCCGGCAGCGTCAGCGACCAATTTTCACTTCAACCGCTGTGGCATCATCCCTTGCCCCTATTTTTTGTCCTACCTCCTAGTGCTGGATCTCGTTTCCTCCAATGTCGCCTAATAGTGTGTCACTACAAGTGGTTTAGAAAGGGAAACCGAATGAAGATCAGAAGCCCTGCAAACGGCACCGTGAACCGGTGATGAAGATGATTACGCTTCACTATATCCACTGGGAGTGACACACCTTTAGGTGACATTGGGGAAAACGAGAGCAGAGAATCGTGTGAATAAGGGGCAATATGAAGTGAGGTTGAGGAAAAGAGATGCAGCACTAGAAGCTATGACAAAAATAAGGGCGAGAAGTGATGCCGCAACGATTGGACAGAAAGTTGGTAAAGGGGATTGCCTTCACTTGTCACTTCGATAGGTTGTAACTCGGTGCTAACAAAAGGGCTTCTCAGTGACGATGATTCCAAAAGGTTTGGGAATGTGCCAAGTCAATGGTCAAGTGCTGGAAATCACGAATATTATGGCAGAGAAAGCAGGACTAGGTGCTTTCTACAAGGTCTCCCTGACGCTCCGAAAACGGGGTCGTACTAACACTATAAGCTAAAAGAGACTGCGGCCAAACACAAGGCCCACCATCTTGAACTTTATGTTTAAGATATAGTCACCTTCACACCGGTATCAGATGCCATTCGCAGGGCCTCTGACTTTCATTTAGTTCCACTCCAGCTAGCTTGTCAGTTGTTCCCTGTTACACATGATTATCACTTTCTGGCTGTCTGAAATCTGGCCGATTATGAGCCTTCAATTCCGATCCCTGTTTACGTCATATTTGAGGATTGAAGACTGGCGATTCTAATGCCTAAGCATCTCCCTCCCTCTAAGGCTTCATTCACATCATCCAGTTATCCTCTTTCTCATCCCCACACCCATTTTATCCCATGCAATGAGGCTCTGCGTCGGCTTAACTCGGAACCATCTAGGCGAAAATGCACCGCCTCCGTTTTCCCCTGCCTAATAGCGTAAAGCATACTCCTTTTGTCTTTCTCACTGCAGGCACACAAACAAAAAATTGCATACAAGCAAACGCACACTGGGGTCCAACTGATATTGTTCTTCGGGACTCGGGATCCACATTTTGATTAATTTTAAATTAACCTAGTCTAGCAACTTTAATCGTGTACAATTTGTATGTTTTGGGCCTTTAATTTGCTACCCCACAGGCGGGCTTACGTGGCTAATTCCAGGCTGATTCCGAGTTTGACTCCTCTAACTGCGATTGCCTTTTCTTGACTTCCCTTTGTCCTTCATGATCCTCTTTTTGGCAATGTCTCTTCCTGGTATCGAATAGATGTCCTTGGCCCAAACGACTTTTTCTAGCTGTCCTCGCTGAATGTTCAAGTCTGCCCCCGCAATACGCGCAATTTCCGCTGACTCTTCCCTCTTACAATCTCCTGCTCATGAGGTGTCTTTGAAATAGGATGTTCACAGTCTCCCTAGTATTCGGTTTTCTGGTTTTCTCCCCAAATGGGGTCAGTCTTTCTGTTTAACTCCATTCAATTGTGTGGCCAGAAAGGGCAATGTGTTTATCTATCTCCGATCTTTGCGTATCCATTTGTCTGTACCCTCTCTAACAGCTTGCCCATACAACATGAAAAATTCAACAAAATAGAATGCTCATATTGATATGAATACCCTTTTGCGAAATGGCTGAGAATCTACAGCCGCTACTATTGATATGGAATATTCATACAATCCTGAAGGAGGGGACAACACTCTTCACCAGATTACCTACACAACATTACGAAGTTAACAAATGTTCCGGAGTTTACAGCATATACTGCAAGGACTGTAAAGCAAAAGTACATAGAAGAGAATGTAAGGAAAATCGGTATAAGGGTAAAAGAACTCCGGCGACTATGCAGAAAAATAGATACGGAAGGATCGGGGACAGCTGAACACAGTTCCCTTACTGGCCACACAATTGACTGGAGTGCGACGAAAAGGCTGGCCTTATTTAATGAGAACACCAGAAACCGCAAGATCAGGGAGGCAGTGTGCACTTTGTTTCAACGAAACCGGATAATTCTCCTGAGATTGGAAGAGGGAAAAGTCAGCGATAATTTCGCGTGCTGTCTGGGCAGACTCAGAAATTCAGCAAGGGCAACTAAAAGAAGACGCATGGACCAATGAAGGGAGAGTGGGATGTGGATGAGAAAGAGGATAACTGAGCGATGCGTTTGAAGCCTAGGAGGAAGATGCTTAGACATCAGACGCATTAGTATTAAATCCTCGAATATGACGAACATGTAATGGTGTGAATAAGAATAATAGGTAATAGGTAAATTGGTGATATGAAGTAGGGCTGTGAGGAGATGCGGCACTATAAGGTAAGACAAAAACTAGGGACAAGGAGTGATGCTATAACGGTTGGTTAAAGGGGTTGCCTTAATTTGCCACTTTGATATATTGTAACCCGGTGCTAATGGTGCACCCCTCATTTATTATGTTAACTATGATGCCGGCGAAAAGTCTGGGAATGTACCAAGTCAACGGTCCGATCCTGGAAATCATTGTGAATTCTAAGACACAGGATACCGGACTAGATATGTTCCACAAGATCTCCCTGTCGCTTCGACCAAGAAATCAGGCAAAAGCCCACACTATCTTGGTCTTTATATCTACAAAGATAATAAATTTCATAGATATGAAGACCAAAATGCTTTTATTTTGTTCGCAGTCCCCTTTCGTTGTATATAAGTGGTTTGACCTTGTTTAAATAACTTCGTTTTGTTCTCAGTTGGACCTAATTCGAAGCAACTTGTCCGCAATCTTCTGCTCATAGATATGATGATTCAAAGCGTCGGACGGCGAGCACGCTACATTCACTTTCCTATGAAAGATACAATTAGCCACTCGGAAATGTCCTAATTCTGTACAATTTGTTAAGCATCAACAATATGCTGATACATTTGCTGCTTTTAGCATTTTATTGCAAGTACTGAATAAAGCACTCACGAAAAATTCAAATTTTGTCTTATTCTACAAATCTTGCCGAGCTTTAGATCTCGTCATTAACCGACTTAAATCATCTCAGTTCCGAATTATTATGCGTTTCTCCATTTAACTAAGTGGATAGATAGAAGTAACAATTGGGTATTGAAAGTTATTTAATAGTTTCCTGTCATTGGCCTTCATTTAGTAAAACAGTTGAGCTGATAGTATTCATATGTTGGCCTGTCTTGAAAATGAAGATAGTGTGCTTTGGAGTTAAGGTTATGAAAGGGATCGTCGGATTCATTGCTACACCATCTTTCGACTCCTATGGAACTATGCCAAGCTTTCGTCTGTCATGTAATAGACATCATCAGAACGAGAAATTATTCTGTATTTGACATAGGCCAGAGTAAATTTTTTAAATAAAGAATGTGTTATAGGTATGTGAAATCAGAAACGAGAGCCTAGAGGAGAGAGTCGAGGACTCCCACACCCAGAGCTTCAACAATCAAAACTACAAAGGCAACCTCCTTCAATTTCTAGTGAGGCCAGCATATGTTGTCCTTACACCCAACTCCTAATAATAAACGAAGGGCCCATATATGTATACGACGATATAAAGATCAAGATAGTGCAGCCTTTTGTATGGTCACAGTCTCCTTTCGATGTATAGACGTGGACTGACCTCGTTTTCGCAGCTTTCCGTGTTGTCAGGACTTAGTTGGACGAACTGTGTATGAAGTTTTCTGTTATAGTAGTTAATACAATTACCAGCGT